AGGAAACCAAAAAAATAATGAGCATTGACATTTGTTTTGGAAGCTGGAAGTTGCTTTTGGCAGGTGGTGCAAACATGTAAGAAGTCATCATAAGAATTTAAGGTATAAAAATATATAATACTAGGCATGCATCGTAAAATAATGATTAAATGGCCATCACATATCACACACTTTGCCCAAGATTGCATTCTTTATTCTATTTAGTAGACATAGTTATATGTAATTGCACACATGCTTTAGTAGCATTGAAGGACATTTGTATGAAACAGCAGCAAATGTGCTTTTGAAGAGTTTTCAGAAACAACTTAAATGTGAAAAAGCCCAGTGAAAAGTCTGATGTGCTGAGTGCATTGTGAGAGGTACAAGTCTGTAAGACTGTGTTAGACATTTAGATGTCAATCCAAAAAGAGGGAGAGGAGAACTAAATCTTTCTATTGATGATTGATTCACTTTTATGGCCCATTAGAACAGAGCTGCCGGCCTGTATTGATCATACCATTCGACATTTTAAAGCAACAATGACGCCTATGATGAGATTATAAAACGATAATAAAAAACAATTAAAATATTCCATAATGAGGCATGATGTAAGTGTGAAGGGATGGGACAGGGACTGCGTTGCTTCGGTAGCATTTCAGCAAAGCTTGAGTCTTAGTTTGATTGTCAATAGGACTTTGAACCTGCAGCTGACCAGTCAAGTGTGCGCTTTCATCCCCAAACAGCTTAAGCATCAAACTGCATGAAGCTTTGTTCTCCAGATGTCCTTTTGTGTGTTTACCCATCGATAACCCGAGCTGCACACTGCCATGATAATTGCCTTGATAAGACTTTGTTGCAGCCTGTTCTGACAGACCATCCTTTTAATGCAATTTATTGATTAATGCCTTTAGTTACTGCAACATAAATATCTTTCAAATGATCCCTGTCCTGCTATGTAAAGCAGCTCAAAATTCAACTTTGTTATTTTATACTTGCAGCTAGGAAAGTGATATTAATTCAATTTGAATAGAGATGAAGGGTTAGTCATTTCTCATTGTCAGTCCTACACAGCTAATTGCTTGTCGGTAATTGCACATAGTTTGGAACACATTTCAGACTTTGGAAGGGAGACTTTGACTATATTTTGAGTTAAATATTAAAGCTTAAAAATGTATGTATTTTCATTTTCAGGAATTATTGAAAGATGGAGATACTTGTACTTGTACTTGTAATAAAATTGAATTGAAAATTGTGATCATTCAATGAGAAAAAAAACATGGTAATTGATCTTATTCCTACTAGCAGCAAATATCAGCAGATTATAACTTTAATCAAATGCTTTTCTCCATGGAGATATCATGTTTCATTGTATGGCATTAAACCTTTCTAACTTTAATGAGACCAAATCACCAAGTTACAGGTCAGATCTGTGGAGAGAGGACCCCACTCACAGTCAGAATGCCTGTTTTTTCAGGCATTTTTGGGCTACAAGGCCACCTGTAATAGAAAAAATGTAAGGTAAAGCTGTTTAATGTCATACTTTAGAACATCCAAGCAGAGCAATGACATCTCCATAGAAACCTTTAATGAAATAGACAGGTTTTTTTTTTGTTTTTTTTTTACTTTCTTCTGCTGCTCTTTCCTATTCATGGGTTCAAGTCAGTTGTTCATGGGGTTCATGGTGTAATTAATTCATAACCTGTAAAGAAGGTGCAAAATGTATTATTAGTGAATTTGCAGACAGAGGTCATAGGCTTGAATCACGTGTCAAAGCGCACTTAAAGTCAAGCTGTGCCCATGCACCTCGACTTGGTGCACTAATGTATTTCCATATCCTGCTGCTGCAATAGTAGCCTGCAGTGGAGCACATTATCAGATCCCGTCTCCACACATCTGTTTCTTGAGGATTGTTAGATGGAAGTGTAAATTAAATTGTGGCTCCCCAAACAGCAAGCACTGTCTTCGTGTTTATGTAGCAGAAAAATCACATTGCATTTAAATATTAGATTTGAATTATTGGAAAAAGTTAGCAATGTATGTTAATGCCCTGGTGATATCACTTATAAACCGCTAATTGAAACAGAGTAATGTGCAAATTATGCATTTTGGGTGTCATGTGTATGTCTCCTCTTTCACAGAGGTTGCATGTGAAAATCGGGAAAGCATGTGTGATTGGACTTGTCAGGATAATTACAATATTAGCTTGAATATGAAAGCTAGAACAATATATTTTGGGGCTTAGAATTTATCGAGTGCAGAATTTCTTTGCAAAAGTGGAGATATTTTTATGTAATAAGGTAAGATTAGAGGGTCGACTTAATAACTTGCATAGCTAATTCTTTTTCTTTGTTCATTCTGCTATTTATTTGTTGTAGCTCATAGATTTTAATGATACAGTATATTTAAAAATGAGTTTACCTCAATTATCTTGCTTTGTGTCAGTGTCATAATGTAGTTTCAATTTTAATTTTTATTTCTCTGTAGCAAAATATCATATTTAACAATTTGTTATCATGACAGGGCTTTGTGTGATGATGCTGCTATTTATTCTATCACAGCTGAAGTGCATAGCAATGACATTATACATTTTATCTTTACAATTTGTGAATTTTTAAAGAAGCATAATACATTCACAGTAATAATTAAACATGGAATGTGATGCCTTGCACTTGAACTTTTTGTAGATCCTGTGGGGATATGGAACTGGGATTGGATTTTGTCTTTTCAATGACTTATACAAGGAGGAATAATATAAAAAACAACATCCCTTGATAATCCGTGATTTTTAGCACCTGCATTGTTACATGAACTGTCAATTTCAAATGCAAGTTAACAAGAAAAAACATCCACCCAAAAGTTAAAGTGAAGGTAGCAAGCTGCATCTATCAATCTGTTGTATTAATATTCATGAGTGGTGTGAGAATACTTAATGCCAGCAGTGTGCCATCATGAATAATAACTCCTGTCTGAAATCTCTGAGCCTCGTGTACATGGCACTGCTTCGACTTCTGGCCATGCTTCGTTTTCTCTCCTTTTGTCGCAGATGTTTGAATTATAATACTGGCCAACTGGGAATACACACAAACTTCTTTGACAGATTTGTGTTTGCAATTGTAAAATGGGCCCAACAATGACTCGCTGTTGATTTCATGGGCCACACTAGCAGCTGGGGAGGTTGTGAATCTCCGTGCTGCTTTGATGGCATGTTCATATGTGCAGTCAGAATGTCACCTTGCTAAAAATAGTAAACAAGAAAAGGTGACACTGGTGTAATTAAGGCGCTGGCAACACACATATTTTATCATTTCACATATTCTCTCTGTGTCAATAAAAATCTCTCAAACTGCCTATGACAAGTTAGACTACTCATTTTGCCAAAACACAATTAACATCATTACATTTAAGAATTTTGAAAAAACCTTCATACTCACTTTCTCATTTTTTAGGTTTAAAATGTTACTTTGTGACATAGGGAACTAGAATCATACTAGCAAAACTCCTCTAATGTACACAGAAAGGATTATTAAAACATAGTGATACAATTATATTCTAAAACACCTATAGTTTCTTGAAATCATTTTTAAAGCATCAGAAAAAATGTGTTTCTTATGTGTAAACTGTGCCGAACTTCCCCCTTGTGCGATGTCATTAGTATGTTTAAACTCGCCATTTCCTGTATTTTTCAACATATTTTTCAACTTTTCTTCTTATAATTTATATTTACAATAGTTACCAAATTAAGTAAAAATGAGAGAATCATAAAAATCTGTTATATGCACTTCAAAGCTGCAGTACTCGATCTAACTGGTTCCTTGCTTTTACAAATGTCTTCGTATTTATCTGCTTTAGAACACAAGCAATCCTAATGATGTTCACGGTTCTTTTTTTCGGGTTTGCTAAGGTTAATGTAGGTAACCTTATGTGGCAGTGGGCGTCATGCTGTGCCCAGGGACCCATCTCCAGACTTGGGCTAGGTTTGCAATCAATAAAATACTGTATTATTAGATGCAAGACACAGTGGTCTAATTTAGTCAGAAGTTCTGCTTTTCAATATTCTCTATGGGGTAAAACAAACTCAACTAATTTGCAAGAATAAAGTTGGGTACCCCACCTTTAAAATGCTTCCATACTTTGCTTTGACAGAAAACAATTTGGCAGCTGTATTTTAGGGCTTAGCACCACTGACTGTGAGGGGTGAATGAATAATGTTGGTTAACTGAAATTTAATTGTCAAGCAAGGTTAAGATTCAAGCATGGAATCGCCTTAAAGGTCCTATATTACACCAAAGTGACTCTTGTGAGCTTTTAGCCATGCTATAATGTTGTTACCTCCTCAAAAACATACCTGGAGTTGTGTTTTGTTTCATTCACACATGTGTGAGAAATCCTGTATTATTAGTCTGTACACCTCCAAAGCTCAGGATACCCTGTTCCACCTTGTGATGTCATGTAGTCATAGTTTTCAAATTTACAGCTCATTTTTACCTTTAACAGAGATTGGCAATTCCAGGGCTAAAATGAACCAAATGATTGTAGTGAAGAAGGTATGAAGAAAGTTAAAACACAGTGGAGCTCTTCCTGTATTACCACATGCTATCACAAGGTGGAACAGTGTGTTTTCTGTTTAAGAGGAGAACTAAATATGCAGGATTTATGCATTAAATAGGTGTAAATGAAACAAAACACAACATCAGATATGTTTCTGATGAGGAAACAACATGATCACATAAATCAGCATAATATAGGCCTTTTAACAAGAATATTTTTTTAATCACTCCTTACATTTTCATACCTGGACTACATTTTTAAAACAACAAAATGCCAAACAATCAAAGTCTAAAAAAGTTTCCTGACCTGATAGTGTCTCCTAAACTATGCTACACATCAGATAGCCCAAGTTTTACCACCACTTCCTGTCAACTTTAATAAGCCATCTCCTTTATATCCGCAACACCCACTCAGACCACTGACATATTCCTCTTATGTGTCCAAAACTCATTTCTCTTCTGTTTTCTTTCTAGGTCACGCGGTAGTTGTCTGCGTCTGGGACTTTTTGGAACAAGACTACTTTTTCTTTGGCCACCACTGCAGGACATTTGGATAATGATTTTGATGACATGATTTTTGGAGGAGCGGTGGAAAACTTAATAGGACCAAATGGGAAATGATATTGGAATGCAATGGATAAACGCAGAACTATGGAGCATCATGTAGTAAGACTGAGAAAAGGATCCGTTGTTAACAGTAGCTGGACTGTACTGCCCGCCAAATGTCTCTTTGTATTATAGCTCTATTGAACTGTGAGACTCATGAAGATATTTAACAGACTGGGGATTCCTCTACCCTTACAACCAACCTAGTGATGTGAAACTTTTGTGTTCTTTTCTTGCTTATAAAGAGCCTCCGGACTCAAAAATGCATTTCTGTCTTGAGGATCGAGTAAAGATCATAAGCATTTGTTTCCTTTAAGCCTTATGGAGCAGACATTTTTTCTGTTTCCTCATATAAATCTAGAGTTAAATCAAGTGTTTGGTTAGAATCTCCAAGTCTTATTTTCATAACATTAAATATATGTAAGACTATTTGAAGCCACCAATGGTCAAAGCAGCTGAAATCTGCCAAAATGTTTTAAAAATGTAATTCCTGTTTTCAATTCCAGAAGATGACCATTGATTACAAATGTCAGTATTATCTCAATAAATCGAATTAAATGGAGATGAAGCATTGTTTTTTTCCCCTCGTCTTCACTGCTCTTCGTGGTGTGGTAGACTGTAATGCTACTCAAGCATTAGGGGCCGCTGGGACTTTGAATCTGCAGGTCAAGCAAATCATCTGACAAAGAAAACTCAAAAGCCAGCTAGCTTCTAATCAAGGCTGCAGAAATGATGGAGCAAGAAAAGTATGAAATCAGCAGATGCAGAAATAGGTTGTGTTTGAACAAGACAAAAGAGAGAACGTCCCTGTGGTGTTCCCTAAAATGTACAAAGCCATGTGAAATCTGGTCCATGGAGACGCAGATAATTAGCTCACTTCCTTAAACAAACCTAATCCCACTTGATTCATTTCCAAACGGATGTGACTATCATCTAAGATTTCTTTTATTGTTGTACACAGTAACACAAGTAACGCTGGCCATCACCTAGCAGGCTTTGTATCAACACTGTTCCCTCAAGAGTCTGTGCTATGAAATCCCAGGCTTTGCTAGTGCATGTCATTAACAGCTTTGAGAAGACTAACTATTTACTCTGGTGCACGAAGACAATGACAAAATTAGAGGTAATTCCTGAGTGGTCACGATTTACATAAAACCGTAAGCTTCTTAGACTGTTTACAAAATTGTAGTTAAAGGTGCACTAGATGGATAGATTGGTTGATAAATACTTTACTGATGATGAAGGAAATTCAAAGATGAAAACCTTCTAGTGGAGAGTCTCCATTTTCTCCACGGAGATGTTATTGTTTGCCTGGAATGTTCAACTATATGCAGTTAAGCAGTAGACAAGCTGATGAAGCAACCAGGCCACGTAAAGGTCAGATCTGTGGAGAGACCCTACTTAAGTAAGTAAGAATGCATGTAATAAAATAAATGCATGCAATAAAATAAATGCAAGATTGATTCATGTAATGCCATACTGTGGAACATTCCAAGCAACACAATATAAATTCCACAGACACAAGCAAGTGGCTGCTCCCTCCCACCCAAAAAATTGCACCTGTAAAAGTAGTACCTCTAAACTGTAAAACTACATGCATTCACCACAAGGCTTTTTTGGGGATTTTCGATTGCATAACCCAAACACTTCAGCTATAATCAGTTAGTATGAAGTACAAAGAAGTCTGAAAGTTGTTAGCACATTGACAGTTTGCTGATCTCACCTCACTGTGGTGTGGAAGGCACGGTTAGAAGCACACAGTTTTGAGTTGGAGGTGAGACATCACTGGGACTGATTCACATATCACTTATGCATGACGCTTGTACCACAGCATAGCACTGTGTATAATAATACAGCAAGTATCATCAAAGACACTCAACACAAAGTTAATTTTACCCATGCTTTAGACAGTCTAGACTTCTAAGGCTTATATTGAATTACAAATTTTGTAAGTAAATTTCCGCGTGTAATTGAAACAACACATTCAGTGCTTCTTATACTAAACATAATTAATTAAGCAAAAATGGTGAAGGCTGGTTTTCAAATCTCAAACCCAAGGGAGAAGCGCTGAAGGCTAGGAGTGTGCAGTACTGCTGTGGTTAGTGATCCAGGTTGCCTCTTGTTTGGCTTGAAATCATTAAATTACAGTAATGACTAATTTCTCATTCCTGCACGCAATTCGCCGGAGACCACCATGGATTTAATAAAGAGCTGGCCATGAATTACAAACAGTGAATGACTGAGGAAAGGCTACGTGATTATACGGAGTGATTCAAAAGTGCATTAATAAAACAATACAGAAACATTGCTAAATCATTTGAGATAAAGGCTATTTGCATAATTCATTAAGATTAATCAGACCGGGCAATCCTGCACAGCGCTGGAAGGGGAGCAGGGAGCAGACATGAATCTGTTCCCCTGGAAGAGCTCTTTCTATCTACAAACAATGAGACAAATCTACCCTTGGATCGCAGAATTAACCTCTGCTCTCGACAGCCCCTGCAGTGTTGAAACACAATTCCTGCGTCATTCACCTTTATGTGGACTAATATTCTTTTAATAATGAAAGATCTTTTCATACCAGCCTCCTCTGGGCTTTGTTGTTCTGCCATAAAAGAGCTTCACTAAAGTTGGATGAAAATGGGTTGTGCGTGATTGGAAACCACTGTGTGGAGGAGAGATGCTGTTTGGCTGACAGCATCTGAAAGCACAAACACACAAGGGGCACATTCACATAAAAATGTATCCAGTCAGTGGATCATGAAAACAACCAAATGCTAAGGGGTGTCAAAATCTGAACCCAAATCAAAATAATATCATAACAGAGCACCCATGGGTCCACTCTATGACTCAATTTAACTCAGTGACGTTTCAGACTTATGACTGGTTTCACCTCAGTTCTCCTCTTCACATGTCGTTCAAACTGTGGGATCTCTGCACAAGAGTCAGGACAGCATGTGTCTATTAACTACCACAAAATCATTCTTTGGATCAATTATCATATTGTTTGCACACCTCACTGAGTAGCTAATGACTTCACTCTGGGCCAGAACCTCTTTGGTAAATATTGTTGGTGTGATGACATATTGTGAAGCTGGAGCCTCTTTGCTGGAGGAAGATGACACCATTCTATTTATAACACATATTTGCTCCTGTCTCATGTGAAAGTAAATTGTCGAGCGCTAACAGCCAATTTGGTTTGTAGTCTAATCTAATCCAAACACGATGGAAACCAGAGATTGGCAAAGGCAAATTTCCTCCCCACCACATTAAGATCTAAATCAGGAAGGTCTTTCACTGAGTAGGTGTAGGACAGGAAACAAAGCTCTCACTTACACAAACACCAGCTGCTGAGTTTATCGCAACACGATGAATTAGTCTGAAAATAACTGCCAGATCCACTAGACAAAATTAGATTTCCTCATTTTAATGAAAGCTGACAGACTGTAATGAAAAAGCCCTCGATCCTGAAATCATAAAGTGTAAATGTCAAAGATGGTAACTCTTTGCATCTTTTGCCTTAACATCTAATAACTGGCAGCTCTCATAAGACCAAAAACTTTCTCCAACAGAGGATAATGTGAATACTTGAAATTTGCTTTAAAACTTAAAGTGCATATGACAGATTTTCTCATTTAGATTTAATTTGGTGGGATTATAACTATTGTAAATATTAATTATAATTTTACACCAATTAAAACTCTGTTTGTGAAGGGATAATTCTATCTAAAAGTTCAGCAAGTAAGAAACATTTTTTGTCTGACACTTTAAACATGACTTCAACTCTCTGAAAAAGGGACTAGATAGTACAATCCCTAACAGTTTCTGAGGTGATGAAATCCCAGTGAAGTAGGGTGAGACGAGGATCACTGGCTACATTGGGGTCATCAGGTGAGTACCCTCTTTCACCGGTATTTTGATGATAAACCCATAACACCACCGGAAGGCTCATTGGCAACATCTGGCATCCCAGGTATTCTCCCCCTCTGCACAGGACACCCCTTTGCACTTCTGCTGTTGTTTACAGACCAAGTTACCGTCTCTTCTCTGGACTCCTCTGCAGCACCTGAGACAGACTTGAATGTCTGTTGAAAAACTTGTCCTCGTATGCCCAGGTCCTTCAGGAGTGTGACTGTTGAACGGTTAACAAACCCTCTGCAGCCAACTTCTACTGGGTAGACCTGGACCTTCCACCCCCGTTGTTCCACATCAGCTAGTATTTTAAGCTTTTCCATTCGTAGGCTTCTTCCACTGAATCCTCCCACGGCACTGTCACTTCAATTATGAAGGCTGTGCAGGGTGGAGGACCAGAGCACGAGGTCTTAGATTTGTTGCCTCAATCTCAGCAGGAAAGGACAGGTGCTGGTTAAGATCTACCAGTAGTTTCTAATCCCACGCTTCACTGAGCATGCTGTGTGCTTGCCTGGCACAAGTGGTAAGGAGTTTATAGCTGTGCATTTGGTTTCCACGCTAGCTGCCAAACACATTAGCACCTGGTTATATCATATGTAACACTTTAGCACCTGGTTATATCATATGTAACACTTTAGCACTTGGTTATGTCATGTGTATCTACCTTGCAACAAGTTTGTCTTGCAGCCAACCAAGACATGCTTTAGGCTTGCTGGAGAAGGATATAGTGCACACATAGGGTCCTCTCCATACCACTAATGGAGGTTAGCTGGGGATGGAAGAACATCATATACTGATCAAATAAGGAAGCTGGATCGATAAGCGTCCATTCCCCACAGCTCCTTCCATGATAGCTTCTTCTTTTCCACCTCCTCCCACTTCCCACTGGCCCTGTTTCCACCGGTGAGACTGCCTTTGTAGGTCTCAGCGCCTGCTCTTGTCAGCGCACCTCATCCATCCATCCATAGTTTGGCATGAAGGGTCTGTTTTTTTTTTTCAGCTCCAAGGCCTCCTCTTCCCTGCTACACACATCCAACAATGTCCTGATGTCTAAGAGCAGATTTTGCATGCTCTGTGGCCACTGCTGAAGACAGTTTTCTTCCTGACAATGTAGGAGCGGCTTTGGCAACGGTAGTGTCCTGCAATTCTTCAAGGGTTATTTGAAGCCTCACTTTGACACACTTGAGCTCCTCAGTTAGACTGGACACTGATAGCCCCAGAATTCCTCTTACAGTGCTGTGTTGGTTATGCACTTAGGGAGGCCAAGCCACTTCTTCGCATAGAAGCTAACCATCC